CCACCGGGGGCGGGTGGGCGCATCAGTAAAATGGGCAGGCCGTTAAGAGGCAGAACTGCAGAATAAATCCAGCAGCCGAGTGATGCACAAGGCAAACTCATCTCTGTCTCTTGTAATCCTTCAGGTGGGTTTAATGTTCTTTGAGTGACCTAGTAACTACGTGGGTTGTGAGATAAACCATTATTGATGCGTAGACGTGAAGGTTGACATGGGGTGAAGTGAATTATGGTTAAAACCATGCCAGAATAACGCTAAGGAAGCGAATGCTAAGCTAATAAGAGTAATGATAATGTAACGCCGTAGAAAGCGGGTGTAAATTGAGTAGCAAGAGTAACATATATAGCAAGTCGACCACTGTAATTCCAAGTGGTAGGTATGTTGTAACGTTTCGAAGTACAAGTTGATATATATGTGAGCTCTGTATAGGTTAGGTTCGGGCTCCAGGACAGTGCATCAGGCATAGGCCAGCTACCAGCAGTGACGCCGCCATCTGGTATGGTAGCCAATGGTGCATGTCATTTCCTATGTAGAGATACACCAGTATCGCATAGCAGTTTGGAGTTATGGTTACATGCGTACTGTTAGATAAAGGTGGTACATTGATAAGTATATCAGAGAGGTTACTTGACAGTATGAATATGACCATGCAAATACTAAGACAGCTATGCTAAGGAAAATGATGTAAACAAATGTACAAAATGAGTTGGAATTGAGGACCGCAGAATAAATCCAGCAGCCGAGTGATGCACAAGGCAAACTCATCTCTGTCTCTTGTAATCCTTCAGGGCACGCCCGTGTATGGGAGGGGTAACAGGAAGACTGAAGCAAACAGGTACAAGTATATAGAGAACAGTTAGAATCCACAGTTTGCCACAGCTTTATTAAAAATACTGGCCCAGCCCTAGGACTGAATGTTATTTATATGACGTTCCCAGTCCTGATACTGTCTTCACCATGTATCTTCAGTGTCCTTTGCCTTGTTTTCTTTTCCCTCTCCTACTACCTGCTCTGCCCCTCTCCACCCACATTCCCCTTCTTCCTGTCTGTGCAATCATCCATTCAGTGGTTACATCTAAGTCTCTTATGAGCACCAATATTTCCCTCACTTACATGTTTTCCTTGCATCTTAGTCCTCCCCATGTTGGGCTTAATATTCCCTTAGATCTTCATGAGCTTTACAGAAAAAAAATCACAACTATTAGAAAAAGAATTAATCAAATCATTACCACAACTCTCACAGATATGTCCTCTGTACAATGGCTTTAGAAGCATCTCTAAGACCTCATTTATATTTAAACTGCTTCTCTCCCATAGATCTCTGTGTCGACCTCAACAATCTACATCATCAAAATGTCTCCTGGACCCCATCCTAACAAGGCTACTCAAAGACATCTTTCCCCTAATCAACACATCCATATTAGATCTGATCAACCTCTCTCTATTAACATGTTATGTTCCACAGGCTTTTAAGGTTGCTGTAATTAAACCTCTACTTTGAAAAACTCTTGACCCAGGTGTTCTATATAATTATACACCAATATTCAATCTCCCCTATATTTCTAAATTTCTGGAAAAAGCTGTTGCTAAGCAGTTATGTCACCACTCGCACAAGAATGATTTGTTTGAGGATTTTCAGTCAGGACTTAGTGTCCATCATAGTACAGAAACTACACTGGTGAAAGTCACCAATGATCTCCTCCTAGCCTCAGACTAAAGTTATTCATGACGTTCCACAGGGCTCTGTGTTAGGTCCAATTCTCTTCACTTTATATATGCTCCTTTTAGGCAATATTATCAGGGAGTATGGCATAAATTTCCATTGCTATGCAGATGATACTCAGATAAATTTATTTTTGAACTCAGATGAATCAGATCAGTTGGTCAAACATCAAGCATGTCTTAAAGACATAAAGACCTGGATGACCTCTAACTTCTTACTGTAACGATCGGCGAGTAAAGCTGCCGATAATGTCGAAGGTTAACTCAATTATAAGGCCAGACGAGGATAAGCAGAACACTGTCTCTTTAATCAGAGCACTGGTCAGAAACACACGATAAACAATGCAGGAGTCAACATGCAACTCTCTCAAGTCGATAATCCATTCCAGGGTCAGAGCCAGCAAACTCATGCATCCAAGGTATCCACGAGAAGAACGGTCAGTAGGGGAAGTCCATAAATCACACAGAATGTGCACAGAATACGAACAGAATCGGAAGGGTTAGGCAGTACTCGGTGGTTACAAGGCAATCCGGGGTCAGAGCTGGAATAACAAGTACCAGAAAAAAACACTGAGCAGTCTGAACATGAGTTAGAACAATCTGGCAGCTTCCTGGTGAGAGGAAGACTTATCTAGTTCTACCCCATGACTATCAAGCTCCTCTCCTGTAGAACCAGTTTCCAGTCTCAGTTCGGGAGGCAGACGCCCTCTCTACCTTTAAGATCAGACTTAAGACTTTCCTTTTTGATAAAGCTTATAGTTTTCCTAATATAATATTTTTGCCTTCAATATAATCCTAGTAGGACAGTGAGGGAGGGTAGAAACGTACTTAGCATGTTGCAATATGTCTTCCGATATTTCATGGCATCATAACAACTAATGTGGCTGAACAGGGATAGGACTGACAAACATCTTAGTAAGTGTAAGCAAATTGGAGGCCTGGTCCGTCATGTTGCCACTGAATATATTTAATTGTACCAGTGGTTTGTAGTCAGCAGGACGGCCTTCACTTGGGCCCATGTATTGATGTCTATAGAATTATTGGACATGTATTCTAGGATAAGTTGGGTTTAGTGTACCATCCCTCAGTTATAGGCCCAGGCTTAGGGTTGTCCCATGATGCAGAGCTCTCTCTTCATGTACTTATATGCCACCATTACATGTCACTAACTTTGTGTCCTCTTTCTCTCCCTGTACCTTTCTGCAGGTTGCCCTGGCTCTAGAGCACTACGTTTCTGATGAGCAGCCACCGGTCACATCAACCTGACCAGTGTTTGATTGTTTGTTGTGTCTTGTTGCTTTTATTTTCTTTTCTCTCTCCTCTATCCACTCACCCCAACCGGTCGATGCAGAAGAGCCGGGGTCGGCGGGAGGTTTCTTCTGTTAAGCTTGCCTCTGTATAATAGTACAAACACAATCCCCTTTCCTTCATTTAGGTATCCTCAGAGGCCTCATGGGGAAGTGAGAACTACAGTAGTCTGTAAACTAGTTTATAGTCTGAAAATATTACAGAGTAGAGGCCACTGTAGTCTAACAGTGTGTTTTGTCCTTTGTGTCAAAACAGTGTCCCTGCACATAGCAGTGATATGCCTGATTTTTGTTTCCAGTCTGTAGCATTCTGGCCATCAATTTGCCATTTCATTAGTTGATAGCACCACACTAGTTGAATATGTGTAAATGCTTTTGCCCAACAGATTTAGGAGTAAATATAACTGCTGTGTTAGAAATTAACCCATTCTTTTGTTGGAAGCACGAGAAGTGACGACAGGAGAGGACTGTTTAAAATCAGCAGAAAGTTTACTGAATGTCTGATCACAGGTAGGCCTTACAGCGCTGGCATCAGAGAGACAGAGCTCCCGCAGGAGTTCCATACACTGACCCCGAATTAAGGTCTTACAATATATTTTATCTTCTTGGGCTGCTCTGCAATAAACAAAGGTACAACAATTCATGCATTGTAATCCTATTGGTCATTTGGTGAGCCGGAGCTCACACCTCCTTGCTGGAATGTGATCTACACCAGGTGTCTGTGTGTGTGATGCTAATTTGTATGTTAAATGTAGGTGTGGGTGCAAAACAAGCCAACTTGTCTTTGTTAAAATGTGAATTGGCTGTCTGGTCACAAAGAGATGCAGACATCTAGTCTCTACACAGAACTTACAGCATTCAAAGTAAGCAGATTCTGCTTCATTACAGC